TATAGCCACAGATCGTTGTGTCGTTGCCAGATATATGATTGGTTTCACCTGTTTGTGAAGAAGGATTCTAGACCTAGCGAGAATTTTTGGCGCATCATCGACGCGTTACGAAATTTCGAAAATGTCTTCAGAGGCTTCAGAGGACGTTCTAAAAGGCCGGACTTTTAGATTTGCTTTGAAAGAGTGACTGGGAATGAAAAGCCGAACAAGATGGATCGAAGTTTGTTGGACGAAATTTATTGGAGGTACATGTTGTTTCGCAACGATCATGGTGCACGATGAATCGTGTTGTAAAGACTAAAAGCTTTTTTCAGTTGTTGAAATAAAAATGTGTAAAGCAGGAATAAAATAAATTAATAAATATAATAATTCTTTTACTAGAACCGTCGATTAACTGTCTGTAAATAAAAAATAATGCTAAAATTTCAAATAACTGACTGATAAACTTTACAAAATCCAAAATTCTATAAAAATTCCCACAATTTTGTACCTATTGAGAATATGTTTATACATTATGAAACCGCCTGTACATCCAATTACGTACATCTTAAACAAACATCCACCGATTCACGATTATTTTGACAAAAAGATTCAAAGAGGAGAGCCCCATCAACGTTCCTCCTAGCGTAATAATCACACAGAATAAGTCCAAGGCTCACCATAATTATCAGGCTGCTTCGATGAACCCGGCAAGCCAGCGGTGACCGACATTTCGAAGACTTCACCTACTGTCCCCTCCGAAACGCATTTATCACTATCACTCTCGAAACACACTGCTTTTCTTCCCTTTTTCACCGAAGTATCGAATAAAAGCGCAAGGTTTGCAATCGTAAAAAATCACAAGAGAGATATAAACGATGCTTTCAAAGGCCCTCGGTTGCGCGCGAAAGGGAGGAAAATTGAAGATCGACTCGATTTTATTGCGCTCCGCACGGCCGGCTTCGAGGATGGCCGAACGAACGACGCGAACTGCTGCCAATCTATTTTCAAGCGGTGCCAAGCGGTCAGGTATTTCCGTTGACAGCGCGACACGCGCGTTCGGACGAGTTTACTGCGAAGATTTCACATTTTCTCGCTGGTCATCGCCGCCATGCAAAATTCCATATCTGTTTCGGCCAAAATCGTCGACATCGTAGACTTTCCCCCATTTTCACGATCCACTGTGCCGCTGACGTTCCAGCTGTAGTCCAGGTTTAAAGATTTTGGCTGCTCAAGGTCACTATAGGTTAGTATAGGGGTGACGAACTGAGGCGGCCTACGTGCGATCTTTGCTCCTACTTTCTTGGCTCACAGAGTCGTAGGAAAATTGTCCTCTATTATTCTACACGCTACGATTCTACACGATGTAACGCAAATATTACTGTAACTATAGAGTTTCGTTTGCTATCCCTTTCCCTCTGAATCTAATTGGAAGATATCTGATTCCATTTGCGATTCCATTTTCCGATTCTAATTTAGAAATTTATCGTTCTAATCGAGAGAATTCGTGCAGTTTGTCATTAAAAAGTTCGTCACCTCTACGTTAGAGAAACTTAGTCGTTCACCCCCACTATGGTGCTCGAATAATTTGCGAGAGTGGGGGGTCTGTTCGAGCCATGGTGGGGAGAGTAGCCTTGAAACTCAGCTGATTTGAAACGGACTATATTCGTCTCTATCGCTTGGTTAACTAATTCTGTTTCGTAAGAACGCAGGTATAAGGCACCGTTAATATTAAATAATAGCCTAAAGGTATATTTGTATGCAGCGTAAAGTGTCTGTGGAGACGAGATCATAATTCTATAGCGTTTCTATACGACAATTCGAAGTGTCTTTGAGCAGTCATAATATTTGAGCCTGACTATAGCTAAGATCAACTGTTCCAGTAAACTCTAAAGAGATCAATCACGTGACAGGAAGAACTTCAAATGTTCAAATTACAGAATGACATCTAGATGATTTGCCTAATCTAGAAAAAAATCTGCTTTGTGAGGGTCAAGTTTCCTTGATTGAATTACATGTAATAATTGTTGAGAGACTAGTCGATAATGGCGGATACGTATTCATTCGCAGAAGAATGATAACTAATGCTGCTCGAATTATCGAGCCACCCAACGCAAAATGCTTTTGGTGACTACAATGGAGGGGAAAAAGGAAGAAGAGAATTTCTACAAGATGATTCTCGTCTAGGTTTATGATCAAACGATTAAGCAACTTGGGAACCCAGGCTATCTATTCGATCAAAACGCAAGCCGACTAAAATTTGCTAAAGCTTACGATGCTGGATCTACTTATCGTTCAATGTTGTCAAGCTGCCACAGACGTCTCTTCCAAGAGGCTCTCCGTTCCTGACCAAATTTTTTCGTCACAATATCATCGTGACGGGGTACACAACTCTAATTACGTTGCTTATAAACGAATCATTTAAAGTAAAATAGTAAAGAAAGAAAAAGATAAATAAAGACAGCCAGCTGCTCGATATGGTAACAGTATAAGTATACATATATATATATTTCAATTTCCTAGACAGCATAACGTTCGTAACAGCGCAAGAACAACAATTCCTACGAAACAATGTTCTAACATTTGCTAAAACAATATATATATAATATAAATAACAATGACGCGATAAAATGTGTCGTAATCGAGATATCGCGACAGTTTTCTATAGATTGTTCTACTCGCCTCGAGCAGTAGATCCACTAGATGTCTGATCAGACGTCCTCGAATACTAATTTTCTCGTCGCTACCATCGGTTGGCGTTCGCTTCTTCCAGCGTCGTAATCACGCTCTAAATCGAGCGCGAATTTACACACATGGGTGGAAACACAAACAAGGGGAAAACGTGAACGAAAACCCCGGCGCTTTCGTTTTCATAAGATCTGGACCTCCGATTCATTTTATTCAAGAAGGGAATCGCGTGACTTGTTACATAATTTTGATTCAATTTTCACCGTGGAGATGGCTACAGAGATTGTTGGTTTATTTTCAATGGTTTGTGAAATATAGGCTGTTTTGTTTAATTTTATTATCGGTGACAAGAATAAATACAGTAAGCGTTTGGCAATGTGAAGATTTAGTTTCTTCAAGATTATTTTGAAGGTTATTCTACGTCACATTAGAAAATGAAAAAATTGATAAAATATGGATATTCATTCTGGGAATAATTTTCAAGGTATCTTTATCAGTGAAAACAGAAACAAATAAAATCTTCTTCTTCAAATAATTGAAATAAAACCGTAGCTAGTATAGTTCAAAGGGTTGATATACTACGCTATCAAAATTCTACTCGAATAAAAATATCTCAAGCTCTCCTATCGCGTTCACAAAACGTCTCTCTCTTCGATTTTCTGTCCTAATTTATCAAATCGCTAATTTATCGATCACAGAGTTCCGAACACTAAAACTTTCATTAGAAAAATTTCACAAACCATTGCCAAACATGAACAATCCATTTCCAATTTAACTCTTCATCCCCCAAAAGTTTCATCAAACTAATCAACGGAATCATGCGAGATCGCCTTCGAATGTACATAGACAAGCCTTTTCCTTTTTGTTTTTATCAAGACATCAAAAGATATACACACACGCGCACGTTTACACGGACATCGTCGTGCAGAACGAAGAAAGGGAAGAAGGGACGATTTCTGATCTCCCATGTGGTAAAGGGGGCTATGATTAACTTGCAGACCGATCAGAGGGGAAGCAAACGCACGCAACGGTCCTTATTAGTTCGTGGAACGAGAGGAGGCTGGAGAGACGGTAAATCCGAAGTACGAGTTAGCGGAAGCTGGAACAGACAGGATGCAAAAGCTCGGCTCGAAGCTCGTCACTGAGCCCCTCGTGGCCATTGGCTTCCCCGGTTCGTCGCCCTTTTCCGGTCCCCTCTCGCTGTAGAACAAGGGAAAGCTCGTGGAAACGTGAGGTTATCGGGGGCTTCTTGCTGTTATTTGGAATAGGCAATTAGCGTATTTCTTCTTTAGCGGATTCAGTAAGACTTTTTGTGTCTTTTCTTTAGTACACATTCCAGTGTATTTATTATTCGGTGCTTAAATCGTGCTATATTAAGAAATTGATTTTCTAGCGAGAGGGAACCTTCGAGGTGCTGGATGTTTCATCCTTCTCATCGAGTTTGGATAAAATCGGATCTATCTTTCTTTGAAGAAAATTTCATGGAACCTTCTTTACCTTTTTTAAAGAAATATAACTTGTTTGTACATGTTGACGCTACAAAAATAAACGTTACTTGTGTCTTTAAAATATTCGTAGCTTGTAACTTGTGATTTACAGAATTTTACTAAATATTTTAATAGTTTAGTTGTATAAAACAGCTCTGCCATGTATATATTGATTAGGCTATATTACAAGATATTGCATTTTTTTTAACCCTCAGCTTCGTCGAATCATAGGTCATTACGACGATTGGTTTAAGCTTGAGTTTATCGGAGCAAAGGTTACTCTAAAACGATACTTAATCCAACATTAATTTGAAACTAATAGAATTAAAAATTAAGTAACTCGGTCTAAAATTATTGTATTTTCCAACAGAGCAATACTGTTTGAGACTCAAAATGCAATATGCACGAACAGAACAGTAGCGATGAAAGGAATTGACCAAACTATAATTCGTTTCTGTGTTTCACATAAAATTATCCTTTAATAAAAAAGAAGAAAAAAAAAAGAAAGCAAGATTTTCTAGAATGCTATGTTACGTTACAAGTCACTGCATTTTTATTAAAAATACAACGCACAAAAGAACAGTAATGGACAACGAATTGGCTGAAGGTTAGGGGACCGGAAGCCACAGAAGCAGCTTCGGTCACGCGGCTCCAGCGACGCGAACGGGAGAAGCCAGTCTGAACCGGAGGACGTCTACACGTAACACACGTGGAATATATACGTATATATATAATATATATATGTAAATCTAGACGGAGGTACGTAATATATGTATACACATGAACACGAGACGTCGAAACGCGCGTTATGTACACGTTTCTCGGCCTTCGATATGCAAGGTTTACCTTCGGGTTCTTTGGCAATGACCGTGCTGCTCCGGTCGACGACGCCCTTCTTATCCTCTGTACAACAATACACACATACATCACGGATATGCGACTTTTGTTCTTCTTCTTTTATGTAAAAAAAAAGCCTATTTTTATGCATTCTTTTTTCGTTGCTTCTCTTTTCGCTTTATACAAAGACTAGAGACCAGCCAACGCGCGTTAATTTTTAGCTAAGCTGATTCTTTTTGTTATTTTAATCCTCGTGGCACTTGTGTTTGAGTTAACCAGAAAGCTCCTTATTCTTGGGAAATCTTTTTTTTATCGAAGAAAGTTTTGTTTGGTTCGAGGTATTTTTTACGATATTTCTCATGTTCTTTAATTTTTCGTTACAAGTCGATTACAATTTTTTACCTCAGACTTTTTTACATCGTTAAGAAAGATTTATTACTCTTGTCAGCCTTGCAGCGCCGTTTCGGTCATTTTCGATTTCTTTCTATTCTCCTATGAAGAAGTTCTTCATTTTAGAGGTTCCTATTCTTCCATGTCTTATTATAAAAATTCTATTCTATTAAAATTATCTTTAACTATCTTTATTTTCTATTAAATTTACCAAGTTTGAGGAAGACGTAAAAGACTCGCCATTAATACGTATGATATCTTTTGTCAATGATTATCTTGAAATATCAAGAAGTCTTCCTTTTGTTGAAACGAAATCTAAAGTTGAAAAATAAAAGTTCGAGAATTATTGCAAGGTTAAGTACTCGTTTCCGCGATCATGTCGATGATATTTTTGCTTCCGTGGTACGTCGAGTATCGACGTTGCATCAATGTTAAGCTCAAACTTCTATGAAATTTATTTACCTTAATTACGAAAGTTTTCTATGAGAAAGAGAGAGGAAGAGTTCTAGCAATTGCCTTTTTAGTTACAAGTAGATCGCAAACTCTGAAACATCGAAAACGCGTCGACGCTTCCTTTAAATCTTACTCCCGTCGCGATAATTAGTTTCACGTAAGGAAAACAAGCTTCGTCCCGCTGTGTTCGCCACCAACGATTCTCTGTTAACAAATAGTCACGGAGAATCAGAGGTAGAAACTTCATCGGCGAGGAGCATGCTTCCTTTGTTCCTTAGAAGGAATTATTCTGCTTAAAGAGCACGATGTCGACGGCTTTGGCGCAAAGGTGATTCATTAAAGAAGGAAAACTTTCAGCGACGGCAACACTCTGTGTCCGATTTCACGCTCAGTACCTCAATTTCTTTTATCCTAAGAATTTTAACAGAGCAAGGAGTTATTGCTTTCTGGATCGCTTTGAGACAAGTGTCACGATTTTATAAGATACTTTGATCATGGGTTTTCGCTATTTGCAAAATAGCTGGACTCCGTGGCTGTTGATATGAAGAGAAGAAGAAAGAAAATATTATTAACGGACAGATGTACATGGAGCTTGGACGCACGGGTATCCGATTTCAGAAAGCTTGACGTACCATCGAACGCGATTTCTTTGTTTATCTTTCTTACATCTTTTTATTCAGAATAATTAAAATCGCTCTAAAGAAACCGAATAAAGAATTACTTATGGTTTTAAAAAATATTCTCCAGCGGATCTATAAATTTTAGGATTCGTAATTTAAGGATTCGTACTATATATTCTAAGAATATCGTGCAATTTATCCCAAAGGTCAGGTCAGAAGAATTTTTCGAAACAATTATGTTGAATAATTTGATAAATATTGCTCGAGTTCGATGCAGTCGTGCCAGTAAATGTACAAGCTGACATTCAAAGCGATAAACATTCAGTATAACAAGCGTTTAATACAAAAGCAATTTTCTTCTTGGTATTAATCCATCCAAAAGTTTATTTCTCTTTTATTTGATAAATGCCACAGAGTTCCAGCTAGTTCACAGAAATCGATGCTCTAGCTACGTAAAGTGGTAACAAGGTACTTTCTAGCTTATTTAATCTCTAAAACGTAAGCTAACGGAAGATGACAATGATAAAGATAGAGAGATAAAGTGAAATAGAAGTAGACAAAAAAAAGTTATATAGCAACACCGAGCGTATTTATTCGGTATGTCCATAACTTAGTCTCTCGATCGAGTATCATATATCGAGATCTCAAAATGTCGTATCGACTCGGGTTCTCTTGAAACACAGGGGTTCGGGCAAAGGGAAGAGAAAGGGGACGTGCGGTGGCGATCATACGATTGAAGAAAAAGAAAAAAAAAATATATATAAGTCGATAGTCATTCGTGTCGAAGAATTAAGGGTGGTAAAGTGGGTCTTGAGAGTTAACTTTTGCCTTCTGGCACCCAACGATTGAAAAGAAATTGAAAAGAAGACATTCTTTTTCAAATTTTTATCAAAATTTGTGATATAGAATATAACTAAGATTAAGCCTCTTAGGAATTTTTCTAAGGTTCTAAAAATTGGTCAATTTTTCAGATATTTATATTTTCCAATTGAGAAAAAATTGTAAAATTAATTATTATACATTTATATTATGAGAGAAACAATTTGAAACATTTCTGGAAATGTAGAATTATTGTATCTCTAGATCTGTAATCGTAATTCCAGAATTCTGGAATTAATTTATATTTGTGAATTGTACTTGTGAAATATAAAAAAGAAACGCACACGAGTGGAGATATCTTTAAACGTACGGTCTTTCCTACATCAATTCCTGTAACTGTAAAACATTTCTATATCCATAAGAATTCAGATTCTATAAAATTCTATAAAGTACCGATCGTATCATCGCCTTCCAGCTTCAACTAACTTTCCAAATCCACTATTGCACCAAAATAGGGAAGAACCAGGATCAAAGCGGATAATCCAGGGTAAAATAATTGAGATAAGGTGCCATATCAGAGGGTGCAGTTCGGTGGCGAACGTGCAAACGTCGACGAAGATTACGTGAAAATCCATCGTTCTCCTCGGAGGACACAAACAATTGCATCCAATAAAACAAGACACTTTCGTAAGTATATAAAAGAAAAAGACAAAGGTAATGAAAAATCTTAACAATCAAGAAAAGACCTGGTGGATTAATATGTAATAAATCCCTGGAGAAGTTATATTGCTCGAAAGATCAAGGAGCATAACAATTCTTACGAGATTTATCTCTTATATATAATATTATATCTAGCAAAACGAGACAGAAAAATGGCAGCCATAATAATATAAGGGATAAAAGGGGAACATAGACAGACAGAGGAAAACAGACAAGTTGTTGCTCGTTGTAGAACATAAACGAGCTCGAGACTCGGCATAGAAACTATTTTATTTCGCCGAGATATTATCGTCGAGCTCCTTCGAATTTCAAAGAGAAGCAAAAGGGGCAGTGAGGAATTTGGTTTCATTTCATTGGTTATTTTTCACTTCGTTTCTCGGACTGAGAGCGTGACACTTAACTTAGAACACTTAACTCTTAAGAAGGTTTCTTTAAAGATTCTTAGTCATTTGATAGGTTTGTAAAAGGTTTCTGGTATAGAGGACATTTTCGATGATTATTTTGCATTCTTCTCGAAATATTCTGTATCTAAATATTTTCTTTAAATATTCTAAGTATTCTATATTTGTATTCTATTATTTTGAACTTGTACACTCGACTCGGCATCCGAGAAAGCGTGGGTGTCGATGCACAGGCATGCAGACAAAACGAAATAAGACAGGCACGCCCAAGAAGCAGATTGGTTTCATGCTTTTGCGAGGGGGTAGAAGCTTACAAGCGGAGGCGTAAAGTGGTTCTTCGATATTGGGGTTGTTCTGTTTTATTAATATTTTCTGGAGCGATGAAAATATAATACCTGTGTTACAAAATACAAATATTATCATTAATATTCCTATTATAAATTTTATTCGTTTTTCTGAACAATGGTTACGATGTTTCGGGTATTTTTATTTAAAATAGCGTCTTGAAGAAGTGAGTAAAAGCTCGTATACGGAAAAGAAAGCTTTTGTGGTAGAAAAAAGGTGTGTTGCTTCAGACATCTAGAAACAAACAATGAACTTGGTACTGTTCAAATTCGTTTAAAGAAATGTTCTACCTTTTGACAGATAATATTTTCCTCATACTCGATATTTTCTCATTCTCAATGGAGCTCTTCAAGTTCCATAATAGAGTGAAGAATGTCCATTCTGATGCCGTAAACATCGATAAAACGAAACAAACCCAATGGCGAGAACGATTTCTCGCCTCGTTGACGGGTATCGTAAAAGCGAATGCAAGCCATGCGAAACATTGCGCGAGAACGTGAAGTGAGTGTAGAAACGGCTGAAGGTATAGAGAGTGGCAAAGAAAAATGGGGAAAACGAAGAACAGGCAAGTCAGTGATGGTGTTCATAAATCCATAACACCGGTAAAATAGTGATGGTAAAATAGTGTACTTTTCTATTTTTTTTTTTTTTTTTTTTTTTTTGTGGGGGGGGGGGGGTTTTTTTTGT